AGTTAAAAAATTCTCCTTTAAATCCGCAAAAATTTTTTCTTCTTTGTTTTAAAATGTAAACAAAAAGAACATGTTCACAATTTAAATAGAAGATGGTCGCGAAGCGCCCTAAAAGCCTAGTATATATATATATGTACATATATGAATAGTTATTTATATATTCGGAGATAATAGTGGTATCCCCACCTCTGATATCTAAATTACTTTTACTTATGAACGCATGAACGCGCATTTTATCAAATTTTTAAGTTTTCAAAGAACTTCAAGTGACATTTCAACAGTACCCTTGAACCCTTTATCTGATCAAAAATGTTGAAGATGTCCTCGTTGTTTGTAACAATGTTTAATTCCCTCAATTTTTTCTCTCGCACGAAATCCGCCAGTGACGTTTTAAGAAACCACGATTGAAAATAAAATATTTTTTGAAGAAAAAGCAAACAAATCTTATTCATGATTGTTCAGACAAAGCTTTTAAGGGTACCGTTGTGAATTAGACATGCCATGCTATCTGTCACTTTAAATTACGCGTTTAGTCCCTTTAATGAATATCTAACCTTCTCTCGACCCAGACTAATCAGCTGATCATCAGACAGGTTTAAGATGAATCCAGTTCTTAAATTCAGGTTCTCAAAACTATTTTCATTAATCACTTTTTCCTCAGCATAAAATACTTCCAGGTGTTCCAGAACTTTCTCATTTTTCATTTCATCTTCATGTTCCGAATTAACTAAATTTTTCATGCCGATTCTGTGTCCCGAGTTTCCAATGTCCACTGCCTCTAAAGAATCCTGGTTACTTAAGGATTTTATCTGCTCCAAAGAGTTTTCCTCGTACAAGACGTCCAAAGAGATCTTTTCCCGGTAGAGTTCCAAAGACCTTCTTTTATCCCATGATTCCAACTGCTTCAAATCTGGTTTTGAATTCAATTCATGGATCGTACTTTCTTTCAAATTTATATTTTTTAGTTTTTGAGAGAATTCATCTGTGCTTGAAACAGATGAGTTACTATCACCATCTTCTTGGGTTTGATCACCTCGTATATTAACTGTCTGATCAATTATATCATCTTCTGTTTGATCTACTATATCAACAAGACTATCATCTGTTTGATCAGCTAGACTATCAGATAGTTCATTAGCTTTTTTGATCCAAAAAAATAAATGACTATCAACTGTCTGATCTATTATATTATCAACTGCTTGATCAACTTTACCATCACCTTGATCAATTAGAATATCATTTGTTTTATAAGCCGGACTATCATCTGTTTCATCAACTAGATTATGATCTGTTTCATCAACTAGATTATGATCTGTTTCATCAACTAGATTATGATCTGTTTCATTAACTAGATTATGATAACTGTTTCATCAACTAGGTTATCAACTGTTTCATCAACTAGATTATGATCCGTTTCATCAACTAGATTATCATCTGTTTCATCAACTAGGTTATCAACTGTTTCATCAACTAGATTATCAACTGTTTCATCAACTAGATTATCAACTGTTTCATCAACTAGATTATGATCTGTTTCATCAACTAGATTATGATCTGATTCATGAACTAGATTATCAGCTGTTTGATCAACTATATTATCAACTGTTTGATCAACTATATCATCATCTGTTTGATCATCTTGATCAACTAAACTATCATCTGTTTGATCATCTAGACTATCAAATGTTTGATCAACTATATCATCATCTGTTTGATCAACTATATCATCATCTGTTTGATCCCCTTGATCAACTAAACTATCATCTGTGTGATCATCTAGACTATCAAATGTTTCATCAGCTTTTTTGATCCAAAAAAACAAACGACTATCTTCTTCTTTATCAGGTCCATCCTAACATAATAAGTATTTAGAACTACTTTATATGGAAATTAAGAGAATCTTACATTAAACCAAGACCAATTTTGCCTACAAAACATCCAAAGCGCAGCGAGGGACGTTTTTTATAAAAGTAATATATAACAATTTTCTATATCCTGAAAAAGTAGTTGTACACAATTTTATTGTCTTTTAAGATAAAAATGTGCAAATTTATTCCGAAAACTTCGCAGAGCGGTTGGTTATTTTACATAACTGTTCCAAGGGACTTTAAATAACTTAATCTTCCTCTGTTGGGGGAATAATAGAACGGTAATATTGGTCAAAAGGCGATAATTTTTTTTAACAAATACTCGATAATCAAGATTGACAATATTCCAGAGAAAAGCTCCGACCTACGACCTTCAAGATTAAAATGTTCATGTTGAAAGCGGCATTATCTTTACTTCGCATTGATTTTTGGGACTGTTTTGCTCATTTCAATATCTCTGTATGATATTGGGGTCATTTGAAATTACGTCCCAGTCCCTTTCATGTTTTATTTTAATGTTCAGCATTTAAAATCATGAATTTAAAAGTTTTATTTTAATATTTAGCATTTAAAATCATGAATTTAAAAGTATGTTTGCCTCTGGAGTAAAGTCAGTGAGCTTTACACCATTTAAAAGTTTCTACAAGCATACCGTTGAGTTTTTTCTTGATTTTAGAAATATTTTCAATTTTTCTTCTTCTTCCTTCAGTCTGGTAGACATATCATAATTATATTTTATAATGGTATGGCTGGCCACTTTATATCAATTCTTAAAGCAAATCTACACAAATTCATAGAAATTTCGGAAAGGAGTATACGCTGTCTATCGAATCAACAATGTTGAGTTCCTTTTAAAAATTGATGATTAGAGACTAACAAATAATTTACTGTTTGTTTTACAGGGTTATTCTCAAATGATGAGATGTAAAGACGACTTGAAACTCTTTAAATTTAATTTTAGAAAGAGTCTTTTGTAAAGGTTGGAAACTAGATCTACTCAAGAGAGAGAACACTGGATGTCTGAATATATATTTGTGTACAATGTGTATAGTAAAGTACAAAGAGGGAGTTGACAGGAACTGGTCAACTTCCATGTAAACATAAACAGGGATAAATATGATAAATATATATGAATAAACTGGTCCTCCACACTTTTTCCTTAAATGGTTCATTTAATATTTTGGCTAAGAAAGAAAGAAGTTTCTAAGTTTTAAAAAATCATGAGAATAAGGAAACTAGCACAAATTCCAGTACACATTCCGTACAGTCGTCTCTGAAGTCTCATCCTTTGTGGGTAAACCTGTATATAATAAGGATGGGAACTGTTGTATTCAAGAGTGGTTTGAATGAATTGTAAAAAAATATAATTTTTTTTTTCTCTACTTTTAATAAATTACAATTTCCTGTGTTTTAAATTATTCATCTCATCTTCTGTTCTTCTTCTTACATCTTCCTCGATATCAACCATCATCTTCAAGATATCCAGGCCCTAAACAGTTTAATATATCCACCGTCATCTTCAAGATATCCAGACCCTAAACAGTTCAATATATCCACCATCAACTTCAAGATATCCAGGCCCTGAACAGTTTAATATATCCACCATAACCTTCAAGATATCCAAGCCCTGAACAGTTTAATATATCCACCATAACCTTCAAGATATCCAGGCCCTGAACAGTTTAATATATCCACCGTCATCTTAAAGATATCCAGGCCCTAAACAGTTTAATATCCACCATCATCTTCAAGATATCCAGGCCCTAAACAGTTTAATATATCCACCATCATCTTCAAGATATCCAGACCCTAAACAGTTCAAATCCAACATCATTTTCAGGATATCCAGAACCTAAACAGTTTAAGATATCCACCATCATCTTTAAGATATCCAGTCCTTAACAGTTAAAGATATCCACCATCATCTTCAAGATATCCAGACCCTAAACAGTTCAAATCCAACATCATTTTCCGGATATCCAGAACCTAAACAGTTTAAGATATCCACCATCATCTTTAAGATATCCAGGTCCTTAACAGTTTAATATATCAACCATTATCTTCAAGATATCCAAACCCTAAACATTTTAATACATCCACCATCATCTTCTAGATATCCAAACCCTAAACAGTTCAAGATATACAGTACACAGCTGCATCTTCAAAATATCCAGACCCTAAACAGTTTAAGATATCCACCATCATCTTCAAAATATCCACACCCTAAACAGTTTAAGATATCCACCATCATTTTCAAGATATCCAAACCCTAAACAGTTCAAGATATCCACCTGCATCTTCAGGATATTTAGATCCTAAACAGTTAAAGATATCCACCCTCATCTTCAAAATATCCAGACCCTAAACAGTTTAAGATATCCACCCCCTGAAAAGTTTAATATATTCACCATAACCTTCGAGATATCCAGACACTAAACAGTTCAATATATCCACTAATTTCATTCCCTGTCTTTGCTGTATAAAACCGCTAGTTGCGATTATACAGAAACCAAAATAAAAAATGATCAATATTCAGATTTTATTTATCCCTTTCAATTACCAGCTTGATTTAAAGGGACTGTAAACGTAATTTCGAGTGACTCTCTATTGGCATGTCCGATTTATGAAAGTACCCTCTACATATTTTTCTAATTAATTATGAATTTTATATAAATACTAGCTTAAAAGTTACTCCCGCCCTTTACCTGTGCACTTGAACGACTTTACCTGTTTACGATTTACGATTTTACTTGTAATTACGTTCATTAATTTAACCTGTAACATAGAACTCAAAATATATGTCAGTTGGAATAATACTCCGCTTGATTATGGTGTTAGAGTAATATATCCATGTTTAACAAATGGGGCGGATTTAAGTGTATCTTGTAAGACAGATACCTGAGATTATTGAGCAACCTGGAGTTGTCGATTAAGTGTATCTTGTAAAGACAGTACATATGATCAATACTCGATTAAAAAAAGTTAATTAGTTTAAATATGGAGAAAGAACCCCTCTAAATAAATTTAGAATAAGAAAGAAATAGGAATTTTTGTTTTAGAATTGTTAAATTTGTTTTCCCTGAAATCTGGTTTCCATCTGAGACAACTGCTCCTCATATTCAGTTCTGAACAATTAATCAGATTAAGAAGAAAGCCAAGTCAAGCCAATACAAACCAAAACTAGATTAAGCCAAACCAAACCTAGCCAAGCCACGCCAGACAATCAAAACCAAACCAAAACAAGCCAAACCAAAATAAAACAAGCCACACCAATCCAAAACAAACTGCACCACACAAGAGACCAAAGTAAACCATGGCAGGTCAAACCAAACTAAGTAAAACTAAACAAAGCAACAGAAGAACCAAACCAAACCAATCCAAAACTAGTAAAAAAAGAAAACCAAACCAAATAAAATCATGGCAACCCAAATCAACGATAATTAGTAAAATGCGAGAAAAATAAAAAATAAGATATTGTAATTGTTCGAATAAATATATCATTATCTATTCAAGCATTAAGTCTGCCAAAAAGTGATGATTGTCTTTCTATAAAGTTTAGTTTTTCTTTGAGAAAAAGTTTTTTAACTTTATCAATTGATTAATTTTTAAATTTTTTTATGAAATGAGAAAAAGTTTAAAATTTATCTGATACCTCAGTTTCAGAATTTGTGAATCCATCTGTGATTGCAAATTTTCTAAATTCAATCTTAGGGCTTCATTCTTTCTTCTTAAATTTTCAAGAGAGCATCCACCACGTTCACCCTTATTTGAATAATGAAACTTACAGTTAGTTTTTGCTTTAAAAGGAAACAGTAATAATTACATAAATGTAACCAATGCTTTAAAATGGAGACAGTTAGTTGTTTTCAACTGCTGGTACCTGAATTTTCAAAATTAGTTTTTTTTACCTGGCAATCTTCTTGTATCCATTGGGTTGGTTTGGAGGAATCAGCCGCTGCCCCATTTTGGTTTCGTTTGGTACGAATTGGTTTGAAATGATTAATATCCGCGCCATTATGGTTTTGTTTAAAGTGAACAGCCCCAGCGCCATTTTGGTTTGGTTCGGTAAATTCAGCCTCATCTTGATTTGGTTTGAAATGATCATATGCAGTCGCATCGTGGTTTGTTTTAAAATGATCTACTTCAGCGCCATCTTTGTTTGGCTGATTGTGAGCGCCATTTTGGTTTAGCTTAAAGTTATCTGTTTCCTTGTCATTTAGGTTTAGTTCATTGGAATCTGTTGAAGCACGTTCTTTTGACATTTTTATAATTCTAAAACTAAACTAAATGGTCAAGAAAGTATATACAAAGTTTTTCATGCAGGGAGGGGGTCCTCTTTTCTTTCAAAAGTTATAAAGTTATATTTGTAAAATAAGATTTGTACAAATAATCTTTAAAGACGTTTCTAATTTCTTTAACGATATTATTTTTTCTGTTATTTTTAAACAATTTCATTTTTTTAAAATCTTTTTTGTCAACGTAAAAACTTTGCACAGGGTATGATAGAACTGAAAGCAAAAATATGGAAAATATAGTTTTGAAATATATTAAGCAGTCTCAGATTCTTATGAATCCTTTAAAATCTTGAATGTCTAAAACGAACCATAAAAATGCGACTTCATGGACGACTGGATAGATTATAGAATTTTCTTTTTGATTGTTTCTTTAATATTAATGATTCCTTGCAATTATAAACTTCTTTCTGTCTTTGCCAAATCATTAGATTATTTGCGGCCATTTTACGATTCCATTAGCGCCTGATCCAATCAGGGTTCATTCATGTGTTTTTGTTGTCTATTCTGAACCAATAGAAATAGTATCTTTCTTTGTATCTATCTCATCATCCATCCTTATATCGGGGCTAAACAGTAGATGTAAATATTTACTTCTACTGAAACTATAGTGAATTTAAACTTCAGATCTTCATATTTGAAGAGTCTTCTCTCCAGTCTCATCTTTTGTGAGTACAAACCATGTAGAAAGGAATTGAGTTTTTTCCACAAACTCAGACTTTCTAAACCCTATATCTTTGCGACCTGATGTCTTAGATCTTAGATATTTCAAACTATGAACTCTGTTTGATCAAATAATCGTAGTTTACACCATATCGGGTTGCAAAGATATAGAGATTTGAAAATTTGAATTTGTGGCTAAAACTCAATTCCTTTTCGAAAACTTCAAAATATTGACTTTCTAGTCTTTATTTACGAAAAAAGAAATTATTTTCATTAAAAATAAAACTAAATTAGAACTGAATTTAAAGCCTTCTTTTTCCCACGAGCATTATTATGATATTTTATCAAAAAGGCGAAATTCTGTGTAGTATAACATTAGTATAATGTTTAATTAATAGATAATATATTTACGAAATAATCTATGTTTTTTACCATTATTCCCCCCCCCTCTCCCCCAAAGAATAATGATCATATACAATGTTACTTTTCACATATTTAGACTGTAAATGAATAAAAGTTCACTTGTTATTACGTCTTTAACTATATTTTAAGCAAAGTTTAAGCACGGATACTTCTAGAATAAATCTAAAACTGATTGAATTAAAGGATTTAAATCTAAAGATTGCATTTATATTCTCCTCCTATAAATAGATCAAGTATTTAAATTTTATCTATTGTTAGACTCTGTTGAATAGTACTCCTCTTGATACACTCAAATCATGAATTAATGTAATATGTAATCCAATTTACATGAACTACAGCAATTGTTCATGTACAATTGTACACACTCCCATTTCACTTACTAATAGTCTTCACAAAAAAGAGCGCTGTGGGTTCAAATTTAACGAATGTGGAGAAATTGTGCAATTTAACTATAGGGTTACCCCTATAAGACTGTAAAGACGACCTGCAACACTTTAAATTTGACGCTTCCAAGGTTGAATATACTATTCTACCGTGAATACAGTCTAATTTTAAATGATTAGACAAAGAAAGAAGTGAAAATTTTTAGGAAATCTTAAATATAACAGACAGGGTTAGTTCCGTACAGTCGTCTCTGAAGTCTTATCCTTTGTGGGTGTTTAGATTGACCCAGTTTAGAAGATTAGTGTTTTAACTTAATCTACGTAATTAAACCAATTCTCTCTGGTCCCTTATACCGCCCTGGATACCAAAATTTGAAAAATAATTTGTTCCTAACTTTATATTCCCGTCAATTTTAACTATATAGGGTTACCCACAAAGGATGAGAATTCAAAGACGACTGTACGGAATTCATACTGTCTGTTTCCTTATATTTATGTATCCCTGCAACTATAAACTAGTTTCTTTCTTTGTTAAATCATTGAACAAGCCTTCAGTAATAATCAGAAAACTGTAGAATAGGAAGACGACATTAAAACAATACTGAAGTGAATTTGATCATGTTGCAAAGCAAATAGCTTTACTAGCAAGTTATTAAATTACTTATTAAGTGAGATGGGTCTGTTTACACTGCACAATTGCTGTGCCTCATGTGCATTAAGACTATCAAAAGTCATAATTCGAGTCTAAAAGTTTTCTAAAAGTTTCCAGAGTTTTCTGGTTATATCGGTATGACAAGTCATGAGAATAAGGAAACTAGCACAAATTCCAGTACACATTCCGTACAGTCGTCTCTGAAGTCTCATCCTTTGTGGGTAAACCTGTATATAATAAGGATGGGAACTGTTGTATTCAAGAGTGGTTTGAATGAATTGTAAAAAAATATAATTTTTTTTTTCTCTACTTTTAATAAATTACAATTTCCTGTGTTTTAAATTATTCATCTCATCTTCTGTTCTTCTTCTTACATCTTCCTCGATATCAACCATCATCTTCAAGATATCCAGGCCCTAAACAGTTTAATATATCCACCGTCATCTTCAAGATATCCAGACCCTAAACAGTTCAATATATCCACCATCAACTTCAAGATATCCAGGCCCTGAACAGTTTAATATATCCACCATAACCTTCAAGATATCCAAGCCCTGAACAGTTTAATATATCCACCATAACCTTCAAGATATCCAGGCCCTGAACAGTTTAATATATCCACCGTCATCTTAAAGATATCCAGGCCCTAAACAGTTTAATATCCACCATCATCTTCAAGATATCCAGGCCCTAAACAGTTTAATATATCCACCATCATCTTCAAGATATCCAGACCCTAAACAGTTCAAATCCAACATCATTTTCAGGATATCCAGAACCTAAACAGTTTAAGATATCCACCATCATCTTTAAGATATCCAGTCCTTAACAGTTAAAGATATCCACCATCATCTTCAAGATATCCAGACCCTAAACAGTTCAAATCCAACATCATTTTCCGGATATCCAGAACCTAAACAGTTTAAGATATCCACCATCATCTTTAAGATATCCAGGTCCTTAACAGTTTAATATATCAACCATTATCTTCAAGATATCCAAACCCTAAACATTTTAATACATCCACCATCATCTTCTAGATATCCAAACCCTAAACAGTTCAAGATATACAGTACACAGCTGCATCTTCAAAATATCCAGACCCTAAACAGTTTAAGATATCCACCATCATCTTCAAAATATCCACACCCTAAACAGTTTAAGATATCCACCATCATTTTCAAGATATCCAAACCCTAAACAGTTCAAGATATCCACCTGCATCTTCAGGATATTTAGATCCTAAACAGTTAAAGATATCCACCCTCATCTTCAAAATATCCAGACCCTAAACAGTTTAAGATATCCACCCCCTGAAAAGTTTAATATATTCACCATAACCTTCGAGATATCCAGACACTAAACAGTTCAATATATCCACCATCATTTTCAGGATATCCAGAACCTAAACAGTTTAAGATATCCACCATCATCTTTAGGATATCCATACCGTAAACAGTTCAAGATATTCACCATCATCTTCAAGATGTCCACGCCCTAAACTACTATTCAAAATATCCTCTTTAATCCACAATATATCCATTTTGGATATATTTTATTTATTAAATTAAGTGACAGCTCAGATGGGATCGTTCTTGATCGTTCCGTTCGTTCTTGTTAAAGAACGATCGTTCCCCAGGAACGACACCCAGCCCTAGATGGACAAAGACAAACAACATTCATGCAATCATATGCTTTTGTTGATGTTATTATAAAGCAAACAGTTATACCAGTAGTTTTTATATTCACAAATTGATTTTGACAGTTCATAGTGTTATGATTAAAAATTTTTAAATAAAAAAAATACCTGAAGCCTGAACAATTCTGTATTGTCGTCTTCGATAAAGCTTCCAGAACTTGTAAGTAGAGACTTAAACAAAAAAAGCATTAAAAAACTGATTAAAAAATGATGACAAAATTTTAAAAAATATGGCGTTGCCAAAATATTTTTTAAAAATAATTCTTTATAGCAATAATTTTTACTACAGTGCTGATGAATAAAATAATTTAAATCAAAATTTAAAAAAAAGAGATTACCATATTAATTCCTTCTTGAGCTAAATCATTATTTTCTTCTTTTCTTTTCTCCCATTCGCGTCCAATACTCTTTAAACAAACAATTAAAATCTGTTAAAACATATGGAAGATATTTCTTTTTTTGAGATGTTTTCCAGCAGTAGAAATGCGCAAGTAAGTTTAGAAGAGAAGCCGCAATTGAAAATAACCGCTTTTTAAATTAAAGACATTGACATCTAATTCATACTTGATCAGACAAAGCTTCTGAGGGTGCCGTTGTGAATCGGTCTTTGCCGTTTATCAAGACAGGTTTACTTGAAATTACGCTTACAGTCCCTTTGATAGATCCTAAAACATAGAGAGAAAATGTGGGTTAATGAGACTTATACACTTTTTTATTATGAAAAGATATAAATACTTTCAATTTCATTCCCTGTCTTTGCTGTATAAAACCGCTAGTTGCGATTATATTTTATTTTATCCCTTTCAATTACCAGCTTGATTTAAAGGGACTGCACTGTAATTTCGAGTGACTCTCCATTAATAGAATGGTATGTCCGATTTATAAAGGTACCCTTCAAATATTTTTCCGATCAATTATGAATTTCATATAAATACTAGCTTAGGAACCCAGCGATGCTCAGGTTGTTAAAAGTTAATCCCGCCATTTACCTGTGCACTTGAACGATTTTACCTGTTTACAAATTTACGATTTTACTTGTAATTACGTTCATTAATTTAACCTGTAACATAGAACTCAAAATATATGTCAGTTGGAATAATACTCTGCTTGATTACGGTGTTAGAGTAATATATCCATGTTTAACAAATGGGGCGGATTTAAGTGTATCTTGTAAGACAGATACCTGAGATTATTGAGCACCCTGGGCCTGAAGTTCGCGATTGAGTTGTATCTTGTAAGACAGATACCTGAGATTATTGAGCACCCTGGAGTTTGCGATTGAGTTGTATCTTGTAAGACAGATACCTGAGGTTATTGAGCACCCTGGAGTCCGCGATTGAGTTGTATCTTGTAAGACAGATACCTGAGATTATTGAGCACCCTGGAGTTCGCGATTGAGTTGTATCTTGTAAGACAATTATACCTGAGATTATTGAGCAACCTGGAGTTTGCGATTGAGTTGTATCTTGTAAGACAAATACCTGAGATTATTGAGCGATCTGGAGTAAACGATAAAGTGTATCTTGTAAGACAGATACCTGAGATTATTGAGCACCCTGGAGTTCGCGATTGAGTTGTATCTTGTAAGACAGATACCTGAGATTATTGAGCGATCTGGAGTAAACGATTAAGTGTATCTTGTAAGACAGATACCTGAGATTATTGAGCACCCTGGAGTTCGCGATTGAGTTGTATCTTGTAAGACAGATATTATTGAGCGATCTGGAGTAAACGATTAAGTGTATCTTGTAAGACAGATACCTGAGATTATTGAGCACCCTGGAGTTCGCGATTGAGTTGTATCTTGTAAGACAGATATCTCAGATTATTGAGCACCCTGGAGTTCGCTATTGAGTTGTATCTTGTAAGACAGATACCTGAGATTATTGAGCGATCTGGAGTTGTCGATTGAGTTGTATCTTGTAAGACAGATACCTGAGATTATTGAGGGAGCTGGAGTTCACAACTAAGTGTATCTTGTACGACAGATACACTGGCGTACATATGATCAATACTCGATTAAAAAAAGTTAATTAGTTTAAATATGGAGAAAGAACCCCTCTAAATAAATTTAGAATAAGAAAGAAATAGGATAATTATAAGATATCAATGTTTTTGTGAAATTATCTTAATTAAACACTTCTTAAGTGAAAAAAACGACGTTGTCTTCCACATTGTTGATTATATTAAGGTTTCAAGGATACTATTGTTGATCATATTAAGGTTTCAAGGATACCATTGTTGATCATATTAAGGTTTCAAGGATACCATTGTTGATCATATTAAGGTTTCAAGGATACCATTGTAAATCATATTAAGGTTTCAAGGATACCATTGTATATCGGGCATTGTCATCTTTGCATGGAGGGTCTCTTTAGTTGATCTTCAACCTACAAATTTAACTATTTGCTCTATAATTACACCTACATCATTGCTTATTTCACAGTTTTTATGGACCCAAACATGTATGGCTCAGATGTAAATCATAACAAGTTAAAAAACATTTTTTTACTTTCTACTTCATGACTAAAAAAAGTTATTGTAAAAATTTTAAATGCTGGACAGTGGACAGTACCTCTCTTCACAACATTGAGCGCTGTGGTTTCAAATTTAAAGAATGTGGAGAAATTGTGAAACTACAGGGTTACCCAGAAAGGATGAGACTGTAAAGACGACCTGCATCTCTTTAAATTTGAAGGTTCCAAGGTTGAATTAACTATTTTACCGTGAATACAGTCTAATTTTAAATGATAAGACAAAGGAAGAAGCACAGTGACAATTGTTAGGAAATCTTGAATATAACAGACAGGGTTAGTTCCATACAGTCGTCTCTGAAGTATCATCCTTTGTGGGTGTTTAGATTGACCCAGCTTAAAAGATAAGTGTTTTAACTTAATCTACGCAGTTAAACCAATTCTCTCTATTCATTAGACTTGAGTCTAAAGAATGCGCGAATTTTAAGTTCGAGGTTAAAAGTTCTGTAAAATAATGAATAGCTACTTAAATATTAAACTTTCTCAATTTTAAATTTGAATTTCCCGGGAAAAATTGNGAATGTCTCCCCGCCGCCCCTTGGCTAAGCGTGTATAATCAAATGGTAGGACGGGCCGCGTCTGTTGTATCTCCCTTCTATTCCATACTCCTTGCAGCAGACCTAAATTGACCTTGAAATGCATGTATTTTGAGAATTTTAAGTCGTCTTTGCTATCTCGTTCTTCAATCAAGAAATAATTTAAAGTTTCAAGAAAATCTGACGCAGAATTTATTTGTCGGTGTTGAGACGCGGCTCAAATTCATTAAATTCGGACTCTTAACTGTTGATCCAAATATTCTATTGCTTTCACCCTCACTAAACCACTAAATGTTAGTATTAACACTTTTCACTGCTTATATATCAATCCAACTAGTTGTTCTATCTGTCTATCCATCTATCTATCTATCCATCTATCTATTTATTTATCTATCAATGAGCCTCTTGGTCTCTACAACTTTATTATTGACAAAACATTGTTAAGTTCGGCAAATAATTAAAGAATATTTTTTGAAAAATATTTATTTTAAGCATGTTAAAACAATATGCAATTTAATTTAATGTTACAGAAAAAAAGTATAATATGCAAACTTGTAAATAAAATGTTTTCCGATCTGAAAACTTTCATAACAAAAATAATTATTTCATATTTTGGAAGATCTTATTTGGAGGAGGAAAAAAATTAAATTTTTCCTTAAAAATTCGTGATTTTGACAAATTTTTACGTTTTCAATTTTGAAAAAATAATAATCCAAAAACTTGGGGCAAGATTTCATTTCAGGAAGTGTAGACGATATCTCCGATTCACAAGGGTACCTTTTAAATATTTATCTGAGTAACAAATAGAAAGATAGTCGGTTAACTATCTTGACGGGCGTTAAATTACCACAATTTCCATCGTTGTCTCTAAAGAAAAATACAGGAAGGCACTTTCACCCAGAATTTACGATTAAAAATAATCAAGTTTAAGCAAGAAGAAAAAGGATTTCTCATTTATTCTTGATGAGACAAAGGTACCGTTGTGAATCAAACATGTCACTCTGTAAATGGAGGGTCCATTGAAATTACGTCTACAGTTCCTTTAAATCAAATATAATAAATATTATAAAATGTTATTTAACGTGGATTAAAGTTATATTATAACAAATGTATAATGGCACGACGGTGTTGTGTTATGAAGTAAAAAGAAACAAATATATTAAAAAATGATTTCAATTCAACTCGAAAAATTCTTTTTTAACAGTATAATCGTACATTAATTAGTAATTAACAGAGAGTTTAGTGAATTCTAAGTTTTTAAAATAACTAAATATGTGTTTTATAAAGACCAAACAAAACGAGTTAAATACATAATATTAATAATTATTTTTTTATAGATTGAATCGGAATGTTACTGTTTAAAATACGGTTGTGGTGTTGTTAATGTTGTGACTCTGGTTTCTTAATGCGCAGCATTTATCTCAATCTTCTAAATATTATTATTCAGTTAAAGAGACTGTACTTGACCCTCCTTGAAAAGATGGCAATGTCCGATTTACCGATGTACCATTAAAAGCTTTGTATTATCAAGTATGATTAGATATCCATGTTTTTGTTTCTTTAACTACTTATTTTCATTTGCGGTTTCTCTTCGAACGTGACTCGTATTTTTTTCGAGAAATTATTCCAGAATAAAAAACACTTTTCGAGGCAGAAAAAAGACGATATCTTCCACATTGTTATTCAGATTCAGGTTTCAAGAGTATTGTTGAAAATCGGACATTGCATCTTGTGCATGTAATCCATGTTGTCCATGTTGTCCATGTTGTCAATATTGTTCATGTTGTCATGTTGTCCATGTTGTCTATATTGTTCATGTTGTCCATGTTGTCCATGTTGTCCATGTTGTCCATGTTGTCTATGTTGTCTATGTTGTCCATGTTGTTCATGTTGTCCATGTTGTCCATGTTGTCCATGTTATCCATGTTGTCCATGTTGTCCATGTTGTCCATGTTGTCCATGTTGTCCATGTTGTCCATGTTGTCCATGTTGTCCATGTTGTCCATGTTGTGCATCTTGTGCATGTAATCCATGTTGTCCATGTTGTCAATATTGTTCATGTTGTTCATGTTGTTCATGTTGTTCATGTTGTTCATGTTGTTCATGTTGTCCATGTTGTCCATGCTGTTCATGTTGTCCATGTTAACCAATAACCATGTGTCCATGTTGTTTATATTGTCCATATTGTCCGTGAAGTCCATATTGTCCGTAAAGTCCATATTATCCGTGAAGTCCATATTATCCGTGAAGTCCATATTGTCTGTGAAGTCCATATTGTCCGTGAAGTCCATATTGTCCGTGAAGTCCATATTGTCCGTGAAGTCCATATTGTNAAAATTTTTTTTTTTATCGATTTTGATGGGTATTATATCGTTAGAACTGACGAGGGTCAACCCAGACCGAAATATATTTTCAATAAATGTGGAACTAACATCTACTTTTTTACTCTACAGAGGTTTGGTCCATCACCATCACTGAATTTTAAATTTACTACATTACTCAGATCTTAATCTACTTCTAGAATAATACAGCTACCCCAGAGATTTTAAGAATTGGAAAGAATTTATGAATTGTCTTCTTGACAATTTTTAAAATGTTTTTTTCCCTATTTTACGTAAATCTCAGTAATAGCAAAAATAAATAAATAACTATAATATGTGGGAGCAGCTTTAAAGAGCTCCATATAATTATTTAATTAAAAATACAAAATATCTGCAGCATTCCATTATCAGGAAGTTAAAAATACGACATTTCATAAATTCCTTCGATGTCTCATTATATTTTAACTTAACTGTATATGATTCATTAGGTAAAGAAATTGATGCACGCAAGGATGAATGAATGAATGGATAAATGAATGAATATAAGGATGAATAAATTAATGAAAGGTTAAATGGATCAATATATGAATGAATAAATGAATAATTAATGAATGAATTCCATGAAGATGAAAAACTTAATAAAGAGCTGATCATTAATTAAGTAAGTAATTAAATTAACGTATGAATAAATGAATTAATGAATAAAGATGAAAATGAGCTGATCATTAATTAAGTTAGCAATAAAATTAGCGTCTGAAAAAATAAATGAATGCAAAGATAAATTGATGAATGAAAGGATGAATATATGAATGAATGAATTAATTTATAAATGACCAAATACAAGAATAAATGAATATCGAATGAATAAATGAATTAATGCATGAAGAAGAAAAAATTAATTAATGAGCTGATTATTAATTAAGTAATTAAATTAACTTGAGAATAAATGAAGTAATCCATGAACCTAGATGAAAAACTTAATAAATAAGCGGATGATTAATTAAATAAGTAAATAAATAATGTAAAAAACATTAAATATGAATATGAATATGAATGACAGGATAAATGAATTAATAAATGACTGAATACATGAATAAATAAGTATTATTTGAAGAATAAATGAATTAATGCAGGATGAAGAATGAAAGAATGAGCTGTCTACCTATTAACCCAGAGTAGCCCAAGTATAAGGGAGCTGGTGAGGAAGATTAGAACCCCAAGAAGAGATCTTGTGACAGCATGAGAAGAATTAGAACTGAAATATACATACAATACAATACCATGGGGATAATATGAAAGTATAAAAGAGATAAAACTACAGGGTTACCCACAAAGCGTGAGACTGTAAAGACGACCCAAAACTAAACAAATATGACGATTTGAAGCTTGATTTGTGGTTTCTGCATTCAAATGATTATTTTTTGGTTTATGCCAGTTTCAGCCTACAAAGAACCCTGAGTGCAAGAAAACGGACTAAACAGTTTCAGCCTACAATGCACCCTGAGTGCAAGAAAACGGACTGAACAAATTCCGTTCAATCGTCTCTGAAGTCTCATCCTTTATGGGTAAACATGTACCTTGTAATGTGATGAGGTTTTTCTTCGCATTCCAGCTGTTTTAGTGCGGTCAGCCTGATTCCATAATTGTACTTTGGGAACCCATCAAAACATCTGACCTCTTCCTTCAGATCAATTAATAAATCAATCAATCAATCAATCAATCTATCTCATCCTACAGATCAACTAGTTAATTAATTTCATCCAAGAGGTCAATTGATCAATCAATCAACCAGTTAAACTCATCCTACATATCAATCACTCAATTAATCAACAATTATTAATTAATCTCATCCTACAGATCAATCAATTAATTAATCTCATCCTACAGATCAATCAATCAGTAAATCAACCTCATCCTACAGATCCATTAGTCAATAAATCAACCTCATCCAACAGATCAATTAATCAATGCATCAACCTCATCCTACAGCATTAATCAATTTATGAACCTCATCCTACAGATCAATTTATCAATAAATCAACCTCATCCTACAGATCAATTAATTAATAAATTAATCTCATCCTACATAACAATTAATCAATAAATCAACCTCATCCTACAGAGCCATTAATCAATAAATCAACCTCATCCTACATAGCAATTAATCAATAAATTAACCTCATCCTACAGCATTAATCAATTTATCAACCTCATCCTACAGAGCAATTAATCATTAAATAAACCTGATTAATCAAATTAAATTAAAACGCTTTTAGAAAAAACACCATCTTCCTCATTGTTGCTCAGAAAGATAAGCAAGGTTACTTTTGGGTTGAATCTTTAATGCAGGGTATTGGTTAGGCCCTAACTCTCAAATCCAACCATTAGTTCACGTGATCAGTTCCATCTATCTATCATAGGCCCCAATAAAGACTATCCATACGTATATTAAGTAATAAACCATAAAACATATAACAGACATCACATTTTGTTCGCATTTGACTGCGTTACAATTACAATCTGCTCATGTTATCAATACATGGTCTAGGTTTCGTGATTATAATTTTTTTAAATAACAAAACCTCGGGCCAAAATTTGACCTACCTTCGTGAATTGGACAATGGGGACTAATACTATAAACAGGTGGTCACTGCTCACATGGAATTACGCCAACAGTCCCTTTAATTTACCTTGTTAGATATTTTAACTGAGGTGTCTCTAAACCAATGAAGAAATTCAGATATATGACAATCACATCGGAAAGGATTTCCCTGATTCAAAATCAAGATTTAACATTTTTATATTTTAATAATTAGAAATAAAGAGGACAAGCCAATTTTCAAATGGCGGTCTCTTTGTCTCTTTAACAAGAAAAAATCACATTTAAAAATATTTATTAAACTTTTTAAGTGACTGATCTTTCAGGAATAAGTTATAGGATGTTTGTCCTTTTAACAACTTAATTTAGCTGAGTATCACGTTTTAAAATCTTGTTAAATCCTGCCTTTATATTTATAGTTCTATCTTTCTCAGGATCTCCAAACACACTTTCTAGAAAACATAATAAATAGTAATCTCTGTTTGCTTGGAAGATCAAAACACATGAACCCCATGACCGCCTCAAATTTTTATTGGGGAACTCGGTGGAACCACGGGAAAGTTTCTTAGCTTAGTTTCAAAATTTTCAAATCGGGGTTTACTTTTCTAGAAAAATAGTGAGTTGGTAATCTTATTGTAGTATTGTATATCTAGTCTAGGGGGACACACGTAAAGTAAAAGTAAAAACTCAAAGGTGCAAAGATTCTATGGGTGATGTATAGAATTGCAAAAAAAATTTCTCTAACTTTATAAACGTAGGTGGGAGCAGTTTCAGGAAAAAATCTCGATTTTTGTTAAGGACAGGAGGGGGGTCAATTTGACAATTAGTGATACCAAATTTTCGTTTAAAAATTGAGATTAAAGGCTGAAATTCACAAACAAAATTTGGAATCGGAGGTCATTGGCCTCCATTAACAAACGAGATTTTGCTGAAAAATTTGAAAACGACTTCCACCTGATGCAATGCTCTAATCAACCTAACATTTTCAAAAATGCTCAAAAAAGGCCACATCACACATAGAACCTATGCACCCCAAAAATGTTGTTTTTCAACCTAAATTATTTACCTATTAGTTTAAAAGTTGGTTGGTGAAGGTTGGTCATTTTATTGTATTCTAGATCCAAGTAACGGAGCTTTGGTAAACAACTATAATACAATTTAAATTTTTTATTTTTTTCCTTTCCCAGATCTATAAATTTTGATTAATTTTGATCAATGAATATCAGTTTAGATCAGTTAGCCTCAATTCTGATCAATTCTGATCAATTTAAATCAAATGTTAACAATAAATATCAGCTTACATCAGTCAGCTTAAATTTTTATCAACTTTCATCATTCTATATCAGTTATGAATTTAAATCAATTTTTCTTAATTTTCAAAAAAAAATTTGATCATATAATATCAAATCAGATGATTAAGGATCACTTGTTACAAATTAAAATTGTGTTAAACCAGATAAAATAAATTTCCAAATTAAAAGTTTTAAGTAAATCAGAGCCATTAAAAAATTCGGGAAAATACGGCTCGGATCTAAACGCCTTATTTACTGCTAGAGCTTTCGGATTCAAACTGCATCTTATTTTCCACAGAGTGAGTTCAAAAAACCGGTTTAATATTTTACTTGGCGGATTTTCATGGTAGGAGTTGGCGCATATCGGGTTTGCATTAGAATAAGACTCAACATTGAGCCTAATTCTCCACTAAACCAACCAAGGTCGGTTTTATTTTTATTGGGCCTAACTCCTTAAGTCGAGCCGAAGATCTTGCAGCTGTCAATCACATGACACAAGCTGTCGTCAGAGATGGGTCGAATATCGGGTCTTAAAGTTGGGTTTAAGCAATTATGTCTTGAGCCAAAGTTTTAAAATCGTGGGCTCAGAATTAAATCAATTAAAAACAATTTATGTCAATTACTTTAAATAAAAAATAAATAAATAATGAAATGAAATTGTTCCTTAGAGTAAAATTGATATCTGTTAGTTGATTGTCACCTAAAACAATAAAAAATATGTATAATAATAATATTAATATACATTACTGTTTTTGTTATTATCATTACAACAAATTATTCCCAGGAATTTAAATTGTTGAAAAAAAATATAAATTATCGTTTTTGAATATTTGAAGCTAGATAAATATCAGGCTAAATGATTGAGTAATTGATTTACTAATTAATTAATTAATTGCTTAATTGATTTATTGTTTGATTGATTGATTGATTCGCTTACTGAGGTGAAGATCCATAAGGGAGGAAGAGAAACAGAATATTTTAGGATTATTGATTGATTGATTGATTGGTTGATTAACTAATTGATTGATTGATTGATTGATTTGCTTACTTAGATGAAGATCCTTAAGGAGGGTAAGGGGATAGAATATATCAGGATTATTGATTAATTGATTAGTTATTTAATTGATTGACTGACTAACTAATTGATCAATTGATTGTTTAATTAATTCATTGATTGATTGATTAACAAGCTTACCAAGATGTAGATCCATGAGAGGTGAGAGAACAGAAAATTATTTACTAATTGATTGATTGACTTACTAAGATGTAGATCCATAAGAGAAGTGAGAGGACAGGACAGAAGATATCAGGATTATTGATGCATTCATTGATTGATTGATTGACTTACTAAGATGTAGATCCATTAGAGAAGTGAGAGGACAGAAAATATCAGGATTACTGATCCGCCAGATCTCATTCTGTTCTGTTAATAGAATTTAAACTGGTTTACATAGATAAAAAAGAGATAGATCTTAGAAGGAACAAGATATGAAACATATATAGAGATAGAATGATAGATGAATTAATATTGAGATCTAGATAAAGAAAGATTAATAAAAGACTGTTAAAAATAGATAGATATAGATAGAGAGATACATAAACCAAAAATGGTGAAACTGGGGATACGATTGGAATTTAAATTTTTAAACTTTAAAAAACCATTATAAAAGTTTTTCTTTCCGGAAACAGTGAAACTTTGCCCCCCACCTTCCCTCCACACCCCCAGATGTGCCTTTGAAACAAAAAAATAAAGTAACATGGAAGCAACTATTTATTCTTTAAAAAAATTCTATGCTATTGAAAAAAATTAGGTAAAATTTAAAAAGACTGATTTAAAAAAAGATAAATTATCTGCATTATTTATTTTTACCTAAATGAAGCTTTTTCAGATTTTTCAGGTGAGAACTTATAAATATATCCTGAAACAAATAGAAAAATCAATTTCAATGAAATTTAAAATAAGTTTGTTGCTATCTATCTATCTATGTGCAAGACTTTCGTAAATTCGCAGACTATTCTATTTTCATTGGTAATTTCCAAAAACAATATTTAAAAAAAGTATTCGTTTGATTTTGTGTCATGTGAAATTAGGTCTGGTCATTTAAGACAAAACCATCAGACAAACCAATAAAAACAAAGTTTTTATATATATAATATATAATATATACATATATTTCAAAATTAGTTTTTTAAAAAGGTACCTGAAGATTGAGAAGATACCATTGTGAGACAACCTGCTCAGTAAAAGCATTTGTGAGATGAAGCTCTTCCAGATTCATGAAGTTAGAGAAAACCCTAGAGTAGGTAGGTAGGTAGGTAGGTTTAGGTAGGTAGGTTTAGGACCTAGATAGGTAGGTAGGTCCAGGTAGGTTTAGGTAGGTAGGTCTAGGACCTAGGTAGGTAGGTAGGTAGGAAAGTATATAAATGATCTGTAGGTACCAGGTAGGTATGAATATATGTATGTATTGTAAAAGCCATTTTTTACTTCAATGTTGAGAATACAACGATTTTTCAGGAGTATTTGGTTTATCTGCAAGTAGAAAGACCGGAGTCCGAATTTAATGAATTTAAGCCGCGTCTCAAATACGCCCAAAACCGGTTTAAATTTAGCGCCGGCTTAAATCTTGAAACACTGAATACATTTTAAAGTGAAACCAGTCATATTTGAGCCGCGTCTTACATTTAAGCCGCGGCTCAAATTCTTTACATTCGACCTCTCAATGATTAAATAAAAATTGATTTGTGTAAAGTAGGATAAAAACCGGTTACCTTGGATGGGCCATCCCTGATACTATATACAGATCATTGTGATTTAAGATCAGTCGACGCACACTTGATACTTTATGGAATGCTTTACCAGGAATCTCCTGAAATATATAGACATGAACGGAACTTGTCCCTATATCTTTGCAACATGATCATATATGGCGTAAACCTTTAATATTTTAATGAGTTAAACTCGCTATAGTATAAAACTCCTGTGTCCGAATTGAATGACTTTAAGCCGCGTCTCAAATCCTCCAAAAACCGGTTTCAATTGAGCGCCGGTTTATATCTTGAAAATAAATTTTAAGTAGAACCAACAATATTTGAGCCGCGGCTCAAATTCTTTATATTCGGCATTAGGTTGCAAAGATATAAGAATTAGAAAATAAGAATTTAGAAGTGAAACAGAGTGAAAAGTAGTAATTAGTAATTACACTGAATAAGCGTGGTGTAACTGAGATATTTTGTGCATAACGAAAATATTGTCATAATAATAAATCCGAAAATCCGAAAATGATTCTCTTTACAGTATTTTGTGCATACCAGTTTCCTTCATTTAACATTTTTGTCAGTTAAAAATTACATAATTATTGTATTATCTAGCTTACCTATTTCCTTGCAATGCTTTTAATATAATTATAAATTATCATTTCACGGTTTTTTCATGGAATTTGCAGAATTGTAGAAAAAAAGGAACATTTATTTCTTTTTTATGCTTTCCCATTTAAAAATAATTTAGTAGTTGAAAAAAAACGTTTAATTCACAGATTTTAACTTTTGATTTTGATTCTAATTTATAATCAAAATTCATCTTCGCAAAAAAGGGAATCAACTTTCATGCTCTTATAAGAAAAAAATAAATAACGGCCATTTAGAATTTAGTAATCCACGAGTCAATTTCTGGAAAAACCGCGAACAATTTCAGACGGCAAAAACTCCATTACTTTTACTTCGATAATTGCTTAAAGGGAATCGAACCAATTAAATCGTCAAAGATACTCTTTAAATTTAGGAAAACATAAAATTAAGTGGTTTTATAGTTTTCCTACAGGATTACCTACAAAAGATGAGACTTCAGAGACGACTGTACGGAATCTATTCAGTTATTTTTTTTACATCCATGCTTTTCTGCATTTAGAAACAAGCATTTACAATTAAGTAAACCATTGGCAGAATCTGAATCTATTTAAGTTTAAGTTTAAGGGACTGTAAGCGTAATTTTACGTGACCCTTTATTCAAAGATGGCAATGCCCGATTTACAACAATACCCTAAGAAGCTTTGTCTAATCTAGTATGAATTAGATATCCATGTTTGTGTTTCTTTGAACTGTTTTAATTCATTTGCAGTTTATCTGCGAAAGTGACTTGGACATTCTGGACTAAAAAAAGGGCATCTTTGCATGGAGAGTCACTTGAAATTACGCTTACAGTCCCTTTAATTAATATTTGTCTAGATAAAAATACCTTGATTCCGTTGTTTGTAAGATCAATAACAGTTAGGTTGGGGAAATCATTCCATATTCCAAGTATATTCCAGGGTAAAGTTGGAAACCTGACAATAGAAATATTCCCAGTATATTCCAGGGTAAAGTTGGAAACCTAACAATAGAAATATTCCCAGTATATTCCAGGGTAAGGTTGAAAACCTAACAATAGAAATATTCCTAGTATATTCCAGGGTAAAGTAGGAAACCTGACAATATTCCCAGTATATTCCTGGGTAAAGTTGGAAACCTAACAATAGAAATATTCCCAGTATATTCCTGGGTAAAGTTGGAAACCTAACAATAGAAATATTCCAAGTATATTCCAGGGTAAAGTTGGAAACCTAACAATAGAAATACTTACAATTTTTTGGGGGAAACCTATACTTTTCAAAGAAAATATGAATCTCATGGATTTTTTAAATATTTAGCATAAAAAAAACATATCAAAAAATACACATTTTTCAATAATGAATATTAAATAATCAATACAAAAACAAAAATTCTTCACCCCCCTGCCCCCTCCTCACAATTTTTTCGAAATCATCTCCCCAACCCAAAATATGAATTCTACGTTACGCTTTTTAGAGTGAAAACTGACATAAAAATGCTTAAAAGGAAAGTTAAATTTTTTTAAAATTTTTCAAAAATAATTGACTGATTTATTCTCTCTAACCTGTTTCCATTGAAGATAAGTACTTCAGTCTCCCGTGGAACAAACTCTTCAAAGATATCAAAAATATTAAAAAGAAATAATATTTAGTTTAAAAAATCATTAATTTGGAGAAAAAAGTACACTTTTTAAGACATATTTGAAATAAATGTTTTTTTTGAACAATTTTGTGTATAGTTTAAAATTTAAATATAATTTTTTTTTGAATTCTTACCTAGAACTGAGGGATCTTCAAACCCAGTATTCGTGCAGTTAGTTATATAAACCTTGAAATTAATTGATTCATTCCTTATTTGATTGATTTTTTGATTCATTCATCCAGTTTTGCATTTGTCCTTTCATTGATTGATTGATAAGATCCTAATTATTTATTTTTTTGTTCCTGTTAATTCAGTAATTTATTATTTAAATTTAATTCCTTCGTTCCTATTCCTATTCCTATTCCTATTCCTATTTGCTTAACTACTCAATCTTTCATTTGAATGTTCCATAAATTCGTTCCATCTGAACCTCAACGTTTGTTCCATCTCAATTCGTTTTATGTAGAACTGGCTGAAGTGCCCGGCGTTGCCCGAGGAATTTTATAAAGTCAAATTTTGAAAAAAAATTTGATGTTTGAAAAAAAAAAATTTCGATTTCGAATTTTTTTTTAGCATTTTTGAGAAAAAAAATTGAGTTTTTTAAGCCTATGTTTCCCCGGGGTACTCAAGGGTTTCGTTAAAAAAATTTCAGCCCATTCAGACCAGCCATTTGGCCAGCCATAAATAACATATATATATATGAGCGAAGAGCTTTATCTATATATATACTTGGCGTGTCTGTCTATTTGTTTTTATCCAATAGACTTCATAACCGATCGACCATATATTTTTTGTGGGACCTCGCGTGACCCCAGGGAAGGTTAATGGATGATCGAATTTTCAAAAATTTGCCTTCATCAAAATTTTATATTTGAAAATTTTAAAAATCCATGACATTTTTATAAATCCGCGAAATTTTTGTTTGTTTTTGTTTTCCAATGTACACAAAGAGAACATGTTATGTTCACAATTGAAATAGAAGATGCCTAGTTATATAGATTGGTTAATTTCCTCAGTTGCTTTATACCATTGGTTTCAATATTAATTTTATGTACTTGTTTCTCATTCATTCATTTGTTCCATTTTCTTCTTTTTTATTTCCATATTATATTACTTACTGTCTATTTTCCGTTCCTTAGTTCATTTGATTCAAATTATTTTTTTTTCAGTTCATTAATTCATTGATTTAGGCATTAGCTTATTTTTAATATTAAATATATTTATAACTAAATAAATTGGTTCATTTATTTAATTCACCTTCCGATCAGGGAACATTTGTCTATAGCTTCCCAGGCCACAGTGGCATTTTTCTACAATATTTTATAAATCATGAATTGGATTTATAATTATCAATATTATATAAAAGTTAAAAAAATGAAGGTTTTGTGGAAGAAAAGATAAGTTTAAATGAATAGTAATTGCCCGATTCAAGTAGCCTTGAAACCTTTATCTGATCAATAATATGGAAGATATTGTCATTTTTCTAGGTTTTAAAGTGTTTGTTTCTGAAAACAGATATTTTTTCCTGCAGAAATAATGCACAAATCACTTTCCTAAGGAAACCAAAAAATAAAAAAAATATATTTCAAACTTGTTAAGACAAAGCTTTCAAGGGTGCTGGTATTAATCGGTACTGCCATCTTTGGACAAAAGATTCGTAAATCGGAAGGGTGCGGGAGTTTTGAAAAATAAATCCCTTCTGAGCTGTGCTACCTGCAAATCTAACAGGACACCCTGTCTTGTTGTCCAGAGCTTCCCCATCATATCCATAGCTGGAGGTCAACACTAAACATAGCTGGAGGTCAATACTAAACATAGCTGGAGGTCAATACTAAACATAGCTGGAGGTCCACACTAAACATAGCTGGAGATCAATACTAAACATAGCTGGAGGTCCACACTAAACATAGCTGGAGATCAATACTAAACATAGCTGGAGGTCAATACTAAACATAGCTGGAGGTCAACACTAAACATAGCTGGAGGTCAATACTAAACATAGCTGGAGGTAAACACTAAACATAGCTAGAGATCAAAACTAAACATAGCTGGAGGTAAATACTAAACATAGCTGGAGGTCAATACTAAACATAGCTGGAGGTCTATACTTAACATATCTTGAATCCACCAACCACCCTTAAATTCCACAATTTTAAGCATTAAAGAATTAAAAAATTTTTTTTATAAAAACTAGAAAGTAAATCAGCAATTAAATTTACCTGTTAACAGGAGAAAATGCTGAAAATACATTTTTAATTGATTTTATTCAAATTAGTTCATAACATTTTATATCTGAAAAGTGATATTGGTTAAATATACAAAAAATCAATCTGTATCATCTAAATATTTTTGAAAATATTTGAAGTATCATTAAATAAAACATTATTAACGAAGGAACATAAATATTTAATCAGAAGTACATTAAAATTTACTTTCATGCATTTTTTTCGTCCTAATTAAGATCTTATCTTAGAAAGAGAATATCATAACAATTTACTTATTAAAATTTAGTAGAGTGTAATTTCAAAAATATTAAGCCAAGATATAGAGGAAAAATCCTATGGCTGAAGAAATCCGATCTTTTTGTTTGAAATATCGAACTTTTTGTTTGAAATATAGAATTTTTTGTTTGAAATATCGAACTTTTTGTTTGAAATATCGAATTTTTGTTTGAAATATCGAACGTTTTGTTTGAAATATCGAACTTTTTGTTTGAAATATCAAACTTTTTATTTGAAATATCGAACTTTTTGTTTGAAATATCGAACTTATCTTAAGAATTTCGAACATTTTAGATCAGCAACATGACGTTAAAGAATTTGTAAGATATTCCTAACATTCTATTCGTCATGTCCAAATGAGTTCGATATTTTAAATAAAATAGGATTTGTATTGTAACTAAATTTTATTTAGATATATGCGTTCTAGGTTCGGGTAAATGAGTGACAAATAAACATTTAATTATGTACAGCGGTACAGTTCGTGTACTGTACATTGTACGTAAGATTATGTACATTAATTGGATGAGTGCATGTTCCGTACATACACCGTACAAAGTGATCAAATCAATCAAGTTAAACATTATATTTAGACTAAATAAGGTTTAATCAATCAATTTCATGAAACTGATTTGATCGATTTGAATTTTTCGAATGATTTGATTGAATGACTAGTAGCCGAAGTCTCGATCACTGAGAATAGCTGGAGCTATCAGGGTCCACAGATAGATAGCAGAACACAACCTAGATAAATAGATAGTATAGATAGTATAGATAGATAGATAGCAGAACACAACCTAGATAAATAGATAGTATAGATAGTATAGATAGATAGATAGCAGAACACAACCTAGATACATAGATAGATAGATAGATAGATAGCAGAACACAACCTAGATACATAGAGAGATAGTAGATAGATAGATAGATAGATAGCAGATAAATAGATAGATAGATTGCAGAACACAACCTAGATAAATAGATAGATAGATAGATAGCAGAACACAACCTATATATATAGATAGTTAGATATAGATAGATATATATAGATGATGGATAGATCCAAATAGATAGATAAATAGATAGATTTAGATAGATGGATAGATAAAGATGTACGAATAGAGAGAAAGATACGTAGATAGATATACATTGGATGATAGATTAGATAAATAAATAGATAGATGGATGGAATGATACAATGATAGATAGACAGATAGAATAGATAGATAAAAAGAATAGATAGATAGATAGAATAAAAGAAAGATAGAAAGATAGATAGAAATATAGAAAGATAGATAAATAAATAGATTAATAGATAGATAGATAGATAGAAAGATAGATAGATAATGATAGAAAGATAGATAGAAAGAACCTACCAGGATGAGATGATTTTAACCCACATAGCTCCTGCGTTGGAGGAGAAGGTGGACTTAGAATAATAATAATTTTTAACTTTTTACTGACTGAAACATTTTTATTTTTAATGAATGAAACAATAAAGACGCAATTACATTGGCAGGGGTTTACATTTTTAATGATTTTAGAAGATCGGGGGAAAATGAAAAACTGGCATGTTTTTTCCGTCTTTTATTCACTTTCAGTCTATATAACCGTAAAACATGTCTATCTTCTAGGGGAAAAAATTATTTTAAAAGAAGAGGGAGGGTGATTTTTCATGGAAATATACACCCCTGACATTGGTCTTTGATGTCCTGATTTTTCTAATAAAAATGCAGGAGTGTGAATTTTTCAGAATTACCCCCCTCCTCAAAAAAAAATCATTTTTGATGATTTTGGGGGGAAAATGCCATCAAAAGGCAACTTTTTTCATCCTGTTCGACACTTTTTACCCACAAATTCATATATGACTTCTGCGGAAAAAAGGATTATCAAAAGAGGGGCGGGAGAAAAAAATTATTTTTCGAGAAATATACACCCCTGTAAAAGTGATCTTACCTATACCAGTTGGTGAGGGTCATCATGACATAGAGGGAAGCAAGAGCAAACATTAAATGGAACATACTCCAGCTAGAAATATCTTTTCTTTATTGATTGGTTCCGTATATTTTTGTTTCTTCACGTTCCACGGTCTGTGTTGAGCGTTTCGTGCTTAACGTTCAGTGCTCAGAGATCATTGTTTAACGTCCAGCTTCAGTGTTCAGTATACAGTATACAGTATACAGTATACAGTATACAGTATACAGTATACAGTATACAGTATACAGTATACAGTATACAGTATACAGTATACAGTATACAGTATACAGTATACAGTATACAGTATACAGTATACANAGTATTCAGTATTCAGTATTCAGTATTCAGTATTCAGTATTCAGTATTCAGTATTCAGTATTCAGTATTCAGTATTCAGTATTCAGTATTCAACGTTCAACGTTCAACGTTCAACGTTCAACGTTCAACGTTCAACGTTCAACGTTCAACGTTCAACGTTCAACGTTCAACGTTCATTCTTCAGTGTTCAGTGTTCAACATTCAGTGTTTAGAGGTTATATGTTCAGTTTTGATGATAATTAATAGTAGTAAAAAATTTGTGAAATTTTCTCGGCTTTCCGCAAATTTTAATGCGGAGTCCGACAGACAGGGGAATATTTTCGGAACAAAATTGTTCCGGGAAAAAAATGGAAAGCCTCGTGAATATTCTACCTGTAAGCAACCTCCTCCTGTTCATTATCTCGAATACCACCTCCCTCGGCATCACCTGGAAAATCAGATTAAAATCGTTTTTCCCGTCAACACAAGAAATAACTTAAAGGGACTGTAAGCGTAATTTCAAGTGACCATCCATGCAGAGATGACAATTCCTGATTCACAATGGTATCATTGAAACCTTTATCTGATCAATAATGTGGAAGATACCGTCATTTCCTAGGCTAAATAATGATAACTCATAAAAGTGTTCCTTGACAATTAAATCATAAACATTGTTATACTTGATCAGACAAAGTTTAAAGGGTACCTCTAGTGAATCTGACATTACCATCTTTGCTGGAGGAGCACTTGAAATTAGGCTTACAGTCCTTTTAGGTATAACATTTTTTGGGTTTTGTAATCGTTGACTTGGTTTCTTTTTTTTTAGTGGCGAAAAATTAATAAAAATTCGCCTCGTTGTCCTTCCTTTAATTTTTTACTCAACACTTAGATGGGGAGGTGTATGGGGGATTTAATTATTAATTATGAAGGTATGTAATTTATAAAAAAAAGTAGTCCTCTGTCAAAGAATGAACTTACGAAAAAAAGAATGAATTGATGTATTTATAAAATGAGAAATTGGAATAAAACTAAACTAGTGCATAATCTAAATAAATGAATAAATGAATGAAGGAGTGAATTAATAAATAAATGATGAGTGAATGAGTGAATGAGCGCATAAAAGGATGAATAAATGAATAAATGCATAAATGCATAAATGCATAAATGCATAAATGCATAAATGAATGAATGAATGAATGAATGAATGAATGAATGAAGGAAGAAATAAATAAATAAATAAATAAATAAATGAACCTGTTCCGTCGTCCTTATTAAGAAGAACCTGATCAGTACCGGTCAGCTTACTAGCTGAGCTAGCAGACGAGGAACCTGAATAGTTATACCTTTGATTATAGAAATTAAATTGTTGTTTCTTTGAAATGTTTAAAAATGATTTGTCTTTCTGTTGAATGTCTAATATCTTTCATTTTCTTGAATTTTGGATTAAGAAAAATTTCCAAGTTGCTTTTTAAAAATGCTGCTACCTCTAATTTAATTGTTTTGTCACTTTTAGGTAAAATAGCCAAACATTCTCCATATTTTTATTCATGTTTTAAGGAAGCTAGGCTTTTACACAAAAAAAACATGAAACATGCACATTTTGTACTGTAGATACAAGTACTCAAACATTGTACTGTAGAATATAATATGTACTCACCCATTATAGTGTAGTTTACAATATGTACTCACCTATTGTACTGTAGAGGATAATATGTAGTTACCTATTTAACTGTAGAGTATAACATGGACTCACCTATTGCACTGTAGAGAATTACATGTACTCCCCTTTTGTACTGTAGAGTATTACATGTGTTTACCTCTAGAATTGTAGAGTATAACATGTAGTCACCTATCGCGCTGTAGAGTACATGCACTATTACCTTTTATACTGTAGAATAAATGTACTCACCTATTGAACTGTACAGTATAACATGTACTCACCTATTGTTCTGTAGAGTATTAATGTACTCCCTTTTTGTACTGTAGAGTATTACATGTACTCACCTATTGTACTGTAATGTAACATGTATTCAGCTATTGTACTGTTATGTAACATGTACTCACCTATTGTACTGTAATGTAACATGTACTTACCTATAGAGCTGTAGAGTACACAAAGGAACCAAATAACAAGACCAATGATAGACTGGGTGTCCAGCTTAGGGTGGACAGCATCCTCAGTTCTAATAACGAAACGGATAGTATTAATTATTTACAGCTACTTTACAGGGAAGTTAAGGAAATTTTACTCTACAAAGGGTTCCCAAGACCAATTTTGCCTTCAAAACGTCCACAGCGCAGGGAGGGATGTTTTGTAGGTAAAATTGGTCGAGAGAACCCGTGGTTAAATGTAATTTTTAATTTCCCAAAGTGGTAGTTGTATCCAATTTTATCGTTTTATGAGATGCAAATGCGCGAATTTTTTCGCAGAGCGGGTTGCTATTATACTTAATTTTCCCAAGGGACGTAAAGTAACAAAAGGCGGTAAAAAAAATTTTAATTATTGAATAATAGAGAAAAATAAATTATGAATAATAGAATAATATAAGGATGAGAGTATTAAAGGATCAGTAAATGAATAAATGAATGAACAAATGAATAAATGTATAAACGAAAAGAATTAATTAATAAATTAAGGAATAAATGATAAAATGAATTTACCCTGCAGCAGCGTCCAATGGGCTTAAGGTTGTTGTTGTGGTTGAGTTCTGGGGTAGAATATCTATCTTTGGTTTACAGTCAAGCCTAGAAATCAATCAATCCGTTAGAGAATCAATCAATTAATAAACTAATCAGTTAATCACCCACTTGAACATATTACCATAACATAATTAAACTAAATCTCACTTCAAAAATCCAAAATAAATGATAATTTTATAAATCATTAACAATTCAATCAAAACTCCATTAATTATAAATTATTCAATAACCAATCAATCAATCCTTAAACCAATCAATCAATCATCTAATTAACCAATATTTATCTCAATCAAAATAAATCAAATTATACAATCAATCAATCAACCCCCCCTAAAGGTATACCTGGGTGAGTTACTGATGGCCGACCAAGTAAGATACATGATGTAGAGAGAGATGCAGGCTGACTGTAGAAGACCAGATTGAGGCATATGCTCCTGGATCTAAATATCATTAATATAAATTCCTTATCCATCAGTCACCAATCTAAATACTGAAATGTAAGCCTAAAGGATAGGGAGGAGGACAACACACTTCATGGTAAGCATAACTTAATAACAATACAGATAGAACACTAGATATCGTCTTCTCAAGATTTAAGGGTTTTTCGTTCACAACGAACCTGAGGTAGAAGCCCAAAGGAGTTCTGCACATGCCGCATTAAATTACAATAAAGAAAAAGAACATGCGCACAAATACTTTGGGCTTCTGCCTCAGGGTTATTATGAATGAAAACCCCCTAAATCTTGAAAAGATGACATCTAGTGTTCTATCTGTATTGTTATTAATCTATGATGGTAAGTATGATCTTAGGTAACGGCGGGAGTAACTATTAGTAACCTTGGCATGGCTGGGCTCCCAAACTAGTATATTTATGTCAGCTATAGATGGCCAAACCGCTAGACCAAATTGGCTGAAGTTTTTTGAGGGAAACCAGGGGTATCCCGGGCTAAAATAAATCCATTTTTTCAAGATGGAGACATGTATTTTTCATATGTATTTTTCAACATTATTTTAAATTATTTTTATATTTCCCGGATGACCCCGGGCACTTCAGCTAGTCATTGTTAAAATAGCAGACGTGAGTACTAGAGCAGTAAGTCACCCAATGAAAAAGACGCAAAATAAATAAGAAAATGCGTACCTTAGGTAGTACTGAGACTACAGAGAGAATGCGTATATTGGGTAGTACTGAGACTACGGAGAGAATGCGTACCTTAGGTAGTACTGAGACTACGGAGAGAACGCGTACCTTAGGTAGTACTGAGACTACGGAGAGAATGCGTACCTTGGGTAGTACTGAGACTACGGAGAGAATGCGTACCTTAGGTAGTACTGAGACTACGGAGAGAATGCGTACCTTGGGTAGTACTGAGACTACGGAGAGAATGACGCAAACAATAAGATTGAAGGAGATGAAGAATTCATGAAGTTTACATTCACCAGTCTTCTAAATAATAATAATACTTTCAAAATATTTCAAATTAACTAAAAAGTTGAATTGATCTTGGTCAGATAGAGATAATGCGGGCAGTATTAAAACTATGCGTCTTGTCAATCTTCCCAAAAATATGATGAACATATTAAATAATTACATGGAAATTATGAATTCTGAAAAACTGCTACAGAAAACAAAAGTTTTTAAAAAGAATATTTTTCCATTAGTTTTCAAATTGCTTGAAGATAATTGAAAATATACGAAAACTTACGACTCCAGTATAGTACAGAAGAAGCAGAACCACAGCGGCAACACAGGCGCTGTACATAATTCCTAAAATCATTGAACCAATCAGAAACAAGTACTAAACAACAGTACATAAATCCTGAAATCATTGAACCAATCAGAAACAAGTAATAAACAACAGTACATAAATCCTGAAATCATTGAACCAATCAGAAACAAGTAATAAACAGCTGTACATAAATCCTAAAATCATTGAACCAATCAGAAACAAGTATTTAACAACTGTACATAAATCCTGAAATCATTGAACCCATCACAACAATTAAACAACTGTACATAAATACTGAAATCATTGAACTAATCATAAACAGGTATTAAACAGCTGTACATGAATCCTGAAATCATTGAACCAATCAGAAACAAGTATTGAGCAGCTGTACATAAATCCTGAAATCATTGAACCAATCAGAAACAAGTATTAAACAACTGTACATAAATCCAGAAATCATGGAACCAATCAGAAACAAGTATTAAACAACTGTACATAAATCCAGAAATCATAGAACCAATCAGAAACAAGAATTAAACAAGAAAAACCTGTTAAGTACTTGCTGCCGAGAAGCGTTTATCCAATGAGAATGAAGAATTGTGCTTGTTTGTTTACCTGTACACGTGAGAAGTGCAGCAAGCCATTTCCCCCCTTCATTACAGGATTCTCCTTCCTCTTGGTAGTTTCCGTACCAGGCCTGTACAGTTCATGTTGTACAGAGTACAGTTCATGTTGTACAGAGTACAGTTCATGTTGTACAGGGTACAGTTCATGTTGTACAGGGTACAGTTCATGTTGAACAGAGTACAGTTCATGTTGTACAGAGTACAGTTCATGTTGTACAGAGTACAGTTCATGTTGTACAGAGTACAGTTCATGTTTTACAGGGTACAGTTCATGTTGTACAGAGTACAGTTCATGCTGTACAGAGTACAGTTCATGTTGTACAGATTACAGTTCATGTTGTACAGCCGATAAAATGATGAAAGAAAGGATGAAAGAAATTATGAACGAAAGGATAAACAAATGAATAAATGAAAGAATGAACAAATGAATAAAAGAAAGAAAAAAATAAATGAACGGGTGAGAGAATGAATAAATGAAAGGATGAATGAAATTATAAATGAAGGGTTGAATAAAATGATGTATGAAATAATTAATAAATTAATGAAAGAATGAATGACCAAATGAATCAATGAATCAATGAAAGGGTGCCTAAATAAATTAATCCCACCTCATTCCATGAGTGTACAAAGTCTATGATAAGAACCAGCTGTATGAGGATGAAGATGAAACCTCCAACCATGCCAAAGTACATCCAAACCTTAAATATCAAAAATTTCATTATTCCTTACACTTAGTTCGTTTAAAGGCTTTGTTTACGTAAGTCACCTGTCATTCATACCAGATCATAAAAGCTACCCTTTTAACCTTAATCTTGAGAAGCAGCGAGGAAGATATCGCTGTTTTTCTGTCTGGAAAACTAATTTCTGACAACTTCCTTTTTTGCCTCTGGTGCATAAATCCTAACTGTCGTCCTCAAGTCTCTTTAAAAAGGAAATATATTTCTGGAAAAATCACCCCCCCCCCTTTTAGAAAGTCCGCCCTCCCCAGATATTAGGTGTTTGGGCGTAGTGAAATTTTTTCGTTGTAAGGTTTTAATCGCTAAATTGAGACAAAAAATGATTGTAGGGAAAAGAAAATCATTTTTTTGGGTAAATAGTATCAATAAGAAAGAAAAAAACTTGTCAGCTTCTGACCAACTTTTCATTTTTTCTCTAGAGCATCATTTCCCCCTTAATTCTTATTGAGAAAAACCACAATAGAAAATGAAAAATTTCTTACAAAAAAAACAAGAATATCTTACTCATTTTGCTCAGACGAAGGTTGACCGGGTACCGTTGTGCATTGTGCAAGGTTGTAATGCAAGGAAAGTTAATTGCAGTTGCGTATACTCTGCGCGTTCATTGAAACCAGTTCTCTCAGGGCGGAATTTGTAAACAAGAATAGATGCATCAGTGTTCGTCTAGTATCCGAGTAGGTTAAAAGCATTAAATTTTGATAATTCACATTATAGTTTCCTATGACCAGAACATTTCATTGATTTTTTTATGTAAAAGATTGATCCCATTTCAGGCTTCGACATCCGTCTTGTGTTTACATTACCGCCCAGAGACAGTAACACCGCAGTACAAAAGATGCAGTACCTCTGAAATAACTTTCCTTGCATTACATCCTTGCCGTTGTGAATCAGACATGCCTTAATTTTAAATGTCATGCCACTTGAAATTACGGTAACAGTGATCTATCTTTATATATTTGTATAATTACCTCTCCGAAGGTTCCATTTGGAATCCAGAATGATCCAATCATACCGCCGATAATGAGAAGATATTTAAACCCCCAGAACCCATTCTGGATACCAGATCTGTAGTATTCATCATGCAAATAATGATGATAATAATAGTAATAAATGATAATAATATTAATAAAATGATAATAATGATAATAATAATCATAAATGATAATAATAGTAATAATGAATGATGAAAATATTAAGATAATGATAAAATGCTATTGAAAATAATGATAAAATAATTATCAATTTATGAATGATCATGTAGCCGTTTAACACTGGGTACACTGTTGTAGTAAACAGTGAAGACAAGAAGTAGGGACAGAGAATAGATTCAATACCTATGTTTGGATAATTGCTTACCTAGGATCACTTGTAGACTTGACATTGATCATGATGACTGCCATTAGAGTGAAGAATATTGTAATAATCAAACATAACCTTAAAGATAAATCTTTAATTGGTTGATTAATTAATTGATTTTTTAAACTTCTCCCAAACTGCAGATAATCTAATGCACTCATTTTAAAACAGAAAACTGTTAATTCTGAAACAACGACAGTTGTAACTGATGTTATAACTGATATTATAACTGTTCTAACTGTTACAACTGATGTTATAGCTGATGCTAGAAAAGTTTTTTAACGAAAAAGGGTAAAAAATTACCATCAAATAATATTTTTCTCATAAACTTTAAGAATAATCAGCTTCCCTTAACTCAATTTTTTCAGCCTTAAACACCCCCCGGCCACCCATGAGTGTCCACAAAAATTTTCAGCCCAATCGGTCCAGCCGTTTGGCCGGCTATACGCAACATATGTATATACGAATGTCTTGTTTTATTATAAAGATGATCTTATTAATGGATAACCCCTGAACTATAAAGATACCTGTAGACCGCTTGGTAACCCACTACAACGTCACAGTTGATCTAGATTAAGAATGATTAATCGATTGATTGTAAAACAGACAGATACATTTTTAAAACTAGATTTAAAGCTAGATTGATTGATAAATTGTTTGTTTGTTTGATTGATTGATTGAATACAAGACAGACAGAAACAGTTTTAAACCTTAATAAAGCTAGATAGATTGATTTTATTTAAAAACCAGTAGACAGACATTTGACAAAATTTACAGATGGATAGAAAGATATATTTTGTTTCATTGCAAAAGACAACTAAATATTTTCGAAGATTTGGAAGGAGGGGGAAACAAAAATTTTCACTTTTTCCGTAAAGTTTTAATTCCTATTTTAAATCTAATTTTCCCTTAGATTTATTCAGGGACAAAAAACTTATGAACATTCTTTAAACTATCGGGTAAAACTAAGCTTTAGAAAGAGAGGGGGGCATTATTTTTCATCAAAATATACACCCCTCGTGAACTACTCTAGTACCTGGAAGGAATCCTTCTTTGTCCCTGCAATATTAGTTCCCAAAGTCTCCTCAAAATCTCGGATCTTATCTAATTAAGGATTCAACAAAATTATAAAAATTTCTGCATTTTTTAAATATATTTCAACTACAATTAATGGCTTATTTAACAAAAATAGAACAATTTGAAGAATAGAGTTTTAAAATAATAGATTTTCCAAGAAGAATATGTACGTTACCTGAATATGTACGTTATATGAATATGAATATGAAGAAGAATATGTACGTTAAAGAAGTATATGTACGTTAAAGAAAAATATATACGTTAAAGAAGAATATGTATGTTAAAGAAGAATATGTACGTTAAAGAAGAATATGTACGTTAAAGAAGAATATGTACGTTAAAGAAGTATATGTACGTTAAAGAAGAATATGTACGTTACCTGAGAACGTATCTAAGGAGCTTTCGTGGCTTTTACAGAACGGGACCGAAGCAAGGCTGTCCTGAAAATTAAACAATGGTAGAAATGTCGTTTAAGAAAAAAACAAAAATATTTTTCTTGTAAAATTATGATTTTTTAATAAAAGGCATTTCTTGTCAATGTCAGTGTCTGAAATATGACCTGAGTACAATGTACATTGTACAATGTACATATTTGATTTATGTATGAATAATGAATATATATTTATGTAAATTGTAAATACTATATGCCGCAGCGAATAATGTTGTGATTTATAATAACTCTTTATTTAAACCAGAATAGATTTCTATTTCTTAAAACCTACTATAAAGATGTTCCACAATCAAATTGGTGATAGGTAATAGTTAAAAATAACACAAGACAATAATCAAGATAAATTTAAAGAGCCCAAATTAATATCGCAGGAACTCAGGATTTATTATTAAACCTTGATGAATCAACCCTGGGTTTTACACCTGGATGAACCAACCCTGGGTTTACCCTGGATAAACCAACCCTGGGTTTAACCTGTATGAACCAACCCTGGGTTAAACCTGGATGAACCAACCCTGGGTTTACCCTGGATAAACCAACCCTGGGTTTACCCTGGATAAACCAACCCTGGGTTAAACCTGGATGAATCAACCCTGGGTAATGAACCTGGATGAATCAACCCTGGATATTAAACCTGGATGAACCAACCCTGGGTATTAAACCTGGATGAATTAAACCTGGGTATTGAACCTGGATGAATCAACCCTGGATATTAAACCTGGATGAATCAACCCTGGGTATTAAACCTGGATGAATTAAACCTGGGTATTAAACCTGGATGAACCAACCCTGGATATTAAACCTGGAGGAACCAACCCTGGGTATTAAACCTGGATGAACCAACCCTGGGTATTAAACCTGGATGAATTAAANACCTAACCGACATGTGGCCTGACCCAGGTCGTATTTACCAGTATACGATCCTAACAGGCCCCCTACCCTGAGGCTAACATCTCATTATCTAATGGGGGTGCTGGGGGGTCGGGTAACTCGTTTTACTTCTAAGCTCACTTAGAGGACAAATGAGTCCCTTCGGTATAAATAAATTTTTTTTGAATAAATAATAATATACCTGCACGCCAGGAGCAATCATGATGCAAGATATCACTGTTGTTATCAGAAGCAGTAGAGAATACCTGAACGATAACAAGAAAAGTAACAGAAAAAAATAAACAAAATATAACAAAAAGAACTGTTTTGATTTTGCTTTAAAAAAAAGATTTCAGAATAAAAAATAAAATGATAAATATCAATGTTATTTTTGTAACAAATAACAAAACTATCTACACTGAATCCCAGATATATGAATCATAAGGAATTGAAATCTGCAAGAGACCCCATAGCAAGCGTTTATACAATGTCGTATTACATATTTAAGATCAAATACCGCCGAAAAATGAGTTTAATATAGCCCTGAAATATGAATACAATTGCTATATTAATATTAAACTCATTTTCCGCGGTATTTGATCTTAAATATGTAATACGACATTACAAAAAACTCTTGCTATGTATTCATATATCTGGGATTCACTGTATAACCATGTGGATTTTAAAATATTTTTAAAACATGTTGATATTAATATGAACAAATGCGTCTCGAACCGCTAAATACTCTATTTCTTTTTCTTACTTTGACATAGATTTAAAAAAAAGTGTTCTTTGCTTATATTATGATTTTTAAGCATTAGTTATTTGAACTACACAAAAAAGCAAAATCTTCATGAGCTAAGAGACTGAGAGTCCTATTACGCAATTTTATGGGGTTCACTGTTTAAAGTTTACTGAGGAAAAAAACCTACATGATTCTAGAAGCTATGGAGCTGTTGCACATTGATGGGCAGCAGTTGCAGATAGCACAAGCAGCTTGACCGAAGCAACAGGCGGCAGTACCCGCTAGATATAGATTTAATGTAAAGGGTCTTATAGACGTAATTACAATATTCTTTATAATCATTCAGATCACAATGGCAATCTTTAAACCTTTGTTTTTGGAAGCTATTTTCGTTTTCACATTTTCGTTCTACAGAAAATGAACAGCATAATGAAGGAAATAGAGAGAATTTATCTCTCCTTAAACTAGATCGTTTTAAAGGTGCCAGAGTGAATCAAATGGGTAATTTCCTAAAGAACGATTTTTGGACCCCCCTCCTATCAATTTTGCACATGGCTAAAACATGGATATAATTGATCATGAGGCCGCAATGCCCGGCCCCNATAATTCCCTAGAATAGAATTCACAAAGAAATTTAAGGAATTGCTCAAGAATGAAAAAAACCATAGAAATAAAAGTATTTTTAAAATAATAATGAAAACCTTATTACCTACCTAGCGATATCATTCCTCCCATCTTTACACCTCGATTTTAACTTTTTAGATAAATATATCTTTCTGAAAAAGAACATATTAATAAAAGTTTATTGAACACAAATTAGTTAAAAAGTGGATCGAATATCTTGTATTTTAAAGTATGGTTGAAATATGTTTTATTTCAAAAAATCGAAATAAAAGTTAAATAACAACTAAGAGAAGTTTCCCTGGTTTCCGTAAATTTATATAAATAACTATTGCGTCAATATGAATCAGCAGGTAGAGATAGATAGATAGAGAACAAGGAGGACAACGATGGATTGAGACTTTTTAAATGTCGTCTTCAAGTTAAAATTTGGGAAGGTGCAACTATAATACATCCGTATTAAAAACTACAAACCTGTGTATACTTTGACCTTTTCAGGCTCAGTAGTCAGTATACTCGTACTCAGTGTATACTCTGATCTGATCAGGTTTAACATAAGTTACAATTTGGAGATTTCATCCCCAAAAAGGGTCATATTTGGGGCTTTTAAACCGTTTGGGGATTTGGGGATATCCCCCAACTAATTTGGGTATTTCTGCTTTGAGCAGAGAAAAAGGGAAATGTTCAAATGATAATGTAAATTATAAAATTATATGTTTATTTTTTGTGGTTTGGCAGGTTTTAAAACGTAATCCCGTGATCTTTGTTAGTAAAGTCAATTGGGGGGTTGCAGAGAAATTAAATTGCAATTATGCAGTTCAGTACTTGACTGAGCCCTGAAATTCAACACATATTGTTCACAATTGTCGAGTTGTTCTATTTTTTTGACATAAAAACATAAAACCCTGTGATCAAAACAACTCTGAAACTCAATCATCAAATTTTTAGACATGCTTCGACTTGGACGTCGGGTTTTAACTAACCAACTCACTAATACTTTTTTGAAGCGCTAGACACGTGACATTGTTATTTTATAAATGTAACGTGCTTTTTTCTAGCATCAGGTTGAAGGGAGTATAATCGGCAAAATACTGCTCGATTTTCGTCTGGTTTACAGTAAAAAGTAAAAAATCTTCCATATAATTTTTATTAAATTTTGATAATTGATTTCAGAATTTAAAATGTCGTTGGCAGGCAAAGTTGCAATAATAACAGGTATATTAAAGAATTAAACCAAAAGTTAACTTTTTTTTTAGCCTGGAAAAGGGTTATAATTCTAATAATTTCTACGTTGAATAAATGCGCAAGTCACTTTTGCAGGGAAACCTCAAATGAGAATTTGATTATTTATTTAATTTTATTCAACAACAAAGCACAAGATGATCTGCAACCCGCCCAACCAGAGTAGGTTGTTTTATTGGTTGGCCCATTATTAGCAAATGAGAATTTAAAATAATGATAAACACAGGGGTAATTAAATTGCAATTATGCAGTTCAGTACTTGACTGAGCCCTGAAATTCAACAAATTGTTCAACAATTGTCGAGTTGTTCTATTTTTTTGACATAAAAACATAAAACCCTGTGATCTAGACAACTCTAAAACTCAGTCATCAAATTGTTAGACACTTCGACTTGGACGTCGGGTTTTAACTAACCAACTCAAGCTAATACTTGTTTGAAGCGCTAGACGTGACATTGCTATTTTATAAATGTAAAGTGCTTTTTCTAGCATCAGGTTGAAGGGAGTATAATCGGCAAAATACTGTTCGTCTGGTTTCCAGTAAAAAGTAAAAAATCTTCCATACATAATTTTTATTAAATTTTGATAATTGATTTCAGAATTTAAAATGTCGTTGGCAGGCAAAGTTGCAATAATAACAGGTATATTAAACTTATAAACCAAAAGTTAACTTTGTTTTTTTCTAGCCTAGAAAAGGGTTATAATTCTAATAATTTCTACGTTGATTAAATGCGCAAGTCACTTTTGCAGGGAAACCTCAAATGAGAATTTGATTATTTATTTAATTTTATTCAACAACAAAGCACAAGATGATCCAACCCGCCCAACCAGAGTAGGTTGTTTTATTGGTTGGCCCATTATTAGCAAATGAGAATTTAAAATAATGATAAACACAGGGGCATTTACTTATAATAATGATGCAAATCAGGATAAAGGTTAGGAGGTAGTGAAGAGGTGTGTTGAAGGGTTGGAACAGCTAGGGTAAAATGTGTTTTTGAGAACAAAACTTAACATGAATTTAACATGACACTATGAAAATGTAGTTTTTATATATATACCATTGCATGTATGTATTGTATAATTTATATGTACACATATGTAGGTAAAATTACATAGTAAATTAATAAGTAATAAAACTAAGGATTTAATTTCACATTTTCTATGCTCCTTAACCTGTTACCTTTTTGTTTGATATTAGCTCCAAAATTGTGTTTAAAGTTTTTAATTTTGTCAATTTTTTTATACACAGTGAGCCCCTAGATGTTTCTTACTTTCACTTCAAAGTAAGTATCTCTATATTCTGAAAAACCAATATACTCCCCAAAAGAAAACTTCTATATATTTTTTTTCCAAATTTCAAGTAGTTTTTTAACTACGAAAATATACTTTTGTACATAATTTGTTCCTAATCATTGATGCTTTTAAATCTTCATTGAATCCAAAATGTACGTTTTGTACATTATTAGTTTCATAAACTTATTTGGACCCATAAAACTATAGAATAGTAAGATGACTGTTAGACTCAAGTTATAATTTTAATTAGTCCAATGAACATGATACACAGCAATTTTGCAGTAAAGACAGACTCAATTCCAAAGAGAATAGAATATATATTAGAGGGGAATATTGACCATTGCTCATTTCACATAGACTCTATGCCTTTTACTTTACAAACGATGATTTTCCGTTATAACTATAAATCAAATGTTGTTTTTTATTCACCTAATTCATTTTATAAAGTTTATTTAACAGCTTTAAAAAATTTGTAATTGAAATGAATAGTCTAGGGAACATACTGTATTAATGTACTCTACTGCATATAATTTGTGAACATTTACATGATTTGTACACTTTGAACTCCCTTTCAGACTGAAAGGGACTGAAAAAGTTCATACCGAGAGATTCCTTAAATTCCCCTCTAATATATATTCTATTCTCTATGCTCATTTCTCTTAATAAGCTGATTTTCAAGGAATTGGTACAACTGTACAACTGTACAACTGTACAACTGTACTGCAACATCAAATAAAAATAAGATGATTGAAATGTCTTTATACTCCACAGTTGTATTGTATTGTTCTCACAGTGCATAATTTGCTCTTAAGTTTTTAACCTGTGTACATGACTTGATGTTTAGGGGCAAGTTCTGGGATAGGGGCAGCTACAGCGATTCATCTAGCTAAGCTTGGTGTCAACTTGGCAATCACAGGTCGAAATATCCAGGTATATTTATAAACCTTTTCACCCAGTTGATCTCAGACAGGTCCAGTACGGTACAAGTCAGACCAGTAAATTGTTTCTGTGACAATTTTAAGTTACTTTTAAAAAAAAGACTTGATTAAAACTTTTATCATTATCATTAATCATCTTATCAATTTCAAATATTAAAAAAACAGGTGTTTTCTTCTTTTTTTTTCTGATCTTTCAGAAAAACTCTTGTCAATAAACAAACCTGAACTACTTGATACCTTTGAGTTGTTTTAGAACCTTGAAAAAACTGAAGAGAGATGTCGAGCGATAGGGGTAATTTTTTCATTTTAATTGTTTTTATTTTTAAGTGTTCTTTTAAAAAATTTGTATAACAATTTGTTTTTAGGGAGCGGAAGTTTTCGTAATTCAGGTAATAAAATCAAAATTAGTGTTTCGAACTCAAAACATTATTAAAATGTGAACTTGTGGGGGAAANGGGGGTAAATGCTGACATAAAAATGCTCGTTTTCGGATTGCTTAGTCATTGCTTTATTATGAAATAATAGTGGTTTTTATTACCAAAAAAATGTTTCGATAATTAAGAACCAAAAAGTTATGATAAATTCAGTCTGTTAAATGGACTGTAATTTTGAAAACTGGTTAATTATTCTAAAAAGTAACTTGCGGATTTCTACTCCAGAAAAACATAAAGAAGTGATCAGAATTTAACACTTTAGAAAAAACGACAGTATTTTCCGCATTATTGATCAGATTAAGGTTTCAATGCTACCATTGTGAATCGGGCATTGCTGTTTATGCATGGAGGGTCACCAGATTTAATGATTATTTTTTTACTGACGTAGATTTGTTTTTAATTTATCTTTTTGTTTGGTTCTATTTTAGGGAGATGTTTCCAATGAAACTGATTGTAAAAACATTATTGATTCAACTGTAAAACATTTCAAGGAACTTATCATGTGAATTAAGCTGTATAGCGAGAGATAGAACCCTCTACCGCCATGAGCCTCTGCTATGCAGATACGAGCCTCCCAGAAATGCTATGCAGGGCTTCCCTCCATTGTTTAGCAAAGGGGAGATGATGACTGCAGATAAAATTGATCGGAACAGGATTGCTATACACCTGAAATATAATTTTGAAATTATATCTTGTTTACAGTGAGAAAAAAATGTATTCCATAGTTTTCTGGTTCTCACTGTAAGACGTAATATTTTAGGATTAGATTTTCCATTAAAAACTAAAAATTTTAAACATGGAAATTAAATTTTTATTAAACAGAAGAGCTTTAGTTGTAGGTGTGGCTACGGTCCTGGAAGACAAAAATGTTCAAATGTGGAATAGAAGGGAAATAGTTGTGTGTCACAAATAGATTCTAGTACAATAGATGGCAACGTAGAATTTATAAACTCCCAGTACACCAATAGTCTGACGTCACAAGTGTCAACTAGGTTTTTGTTTCCGACAAAATTATAAATACTAGTGATAACTTTAGAATAAAGTGCTTATCTTACAGTAAAATAATGCAATTTTATTTGTTCTTCATTTTATGTTTTTACACATTTTTTAATCTTGGAAAACATGTCAACTAATGTTAGACAATTTCGTTTTCCTCGTTTTATATGACACTTGTGACGTGTATATTTGCCTGCTTTTCTGTTAGCTGTATGTCATTTAGTATAATTTATCAACGTTTCTAGCAATAATGTTTCAAGCAATTATATCTGCAGTCGGATAACAAACAAACATGGAATATTTAAAATAATAACTGAAATTGGCATTAGATAAAATTATTTTGATCTTTTTATACGGAGGGTGCATTGTATGTAAGATAAAATAAAAGATCTATTAAAAATTGAACAAGACATAATTAAGAAACTTTTAATATTTAATGCTAACTACACTCTATTGACTCATTATCCACTGAGATAGAAAATGATGATTTAAAGACGACATTATTATCATGATAGTGTACACTGTACAGAAACTGGACATATTGGTAAACAATGCTGGAATACTTGAAATGGGGTCTATAGAGAACACATCCTTAGAACAGGTTTAAAAATTTCCTTTAAAAATAGATTTCTTGTTCTTTAAAGATTTGGAAACTATAAACTGTACACCATTTTAATGTATTGTCTGGCGTTTATATTAATACAGTTATGCCAACTTTCTAATAAGTATTGATTTCTAACCACCAGAGATGACTATAAACAAAGAGAAGTTGTATAATTCAAGGGGATGTAATTTTTTATATGATTTCAATCAGAGGTGCAGGGGATATGAAGATATACGCAGGGATATTTATTAAAGTAGTAATCACTGTCCGGTCAGTCTGTTTTGTTTGTTTTGATATTTGATCATTACTCATAAGTGTGTTGAATTTTTTAGTACTTCCATGCAAAGCTGGGTTTACAAGCTTACTCTTGATAAAGCGATAATTCTCAACAATTATAGACTTGAAATAGTATTTGACATGAATTAAACAATAGTTTATTGGTATTGTACAAACTACATTATGTACAATACAACCTTGTTATTTACATTCATGTACGGGCTGTTTAAAACCTGCTTTATGTACTAAACAAATTAAACAAGCATGTAATGAACACACATGTTTGGGTTGTGTACAAACTGCTTTATGTACTTTACGACCAAATAATGAGCACTAATATACAGGCTGTGTAAAAGCTGGTTTATGTACAGTACGACCGTGTAATGAACACTAATATACGGATTGTGTACACTATAAAAACTGCTTTATGTATAGTACGACCATATAATAAACACAAATGTATGGTCTTTGTACAATCTGATTTATGTACAGTACGACCGTGTAATGAACACTAATGTACGGGCTGTGTACAACCTAACAATGCTTGCTGTTCCACATCTTGAAGCTACAAAGGTGAAATTCTGGTATTTTGTAATTTGTAATTGCAATAATTCTCATAATTAATTTAAAAGGTCATTTGTTTTGTCATGCATTACTATGCATTTTGTCATGCATTATTATGCATTTTGTCATGCATTATTATGCTTCTTGTCATGCATTATTATGCATTTTGTCATGCATTATTATGCTTCTTGTCATGCATTATTATGCTTATTGTCATGCATTATTATGCTTCATGTCATGCATTATTGTGCTTAATGTCATGTATTACAATGCTTAATGTCATGCATCATTATGCTTCTTTTCATTCATTATTATGCTTATTGTCCTGCATTATTATGCATTTTGTCATGCATTATTATGCTTATTGTCATGCATTATATTGCTTTTTGTCATGCATTATTTTGCTTAATGTCATGCATTATTATGCTTCTTGTCATGCATTATTATGCTTAATGTCATGCATTATTATGCTTCTTGTCATGCATTATTATGCTTATTGTCATGCATTATTATGCATTTTGTCATGCATTATTATGCTTATTATCATGCATTATTATGCGTAATGTCATGTATTATTATGCTTAATGTCATGCATTATTATGCTTCTTGTCATGCATTATTATGCTTATTGTCATGCATTATTATGCATTTTTTCATGCATTATTATGCTTATTGTCATGCATTATGATGCTTATTGTCATGCATTATTATGCTTAATGTCATGCATTTTTAAGGCTTCTTGTTATGCATTAATATGCTTATTGTCATGCATTATTATGCATTTTGTCATGCATTATTATGCTTCTTGTCATGCATTATTATGCTCATTGTAATGCATTATTATGCTTAATGTCATGCATTATTTTGCTTATTGTCATGCATTATTATGCTTAATGTCATGCATTATTATGCTTATTGTCATGTATTATTATGCTTAATGTCATGCATCATTATGCTTATTGTCATGCATTATTATGCTTAATGTCATGCATTATTATGCTTCTTGTCATCCATTATTATGTTTCATGTCATGCATTATTATGCTTCTTGTCATGCATTATTATGCTTATTGTCATGCATTATTATGCTTATTTTCATGCATTATTATGCTTTTCTTTTCCTTTATTTATTGCATTTATTGATGCTTATTTTTTTTATTTTTTTTATCGTATTAATTTTATTTATTTATGCTTAAAGGAACTGTATGACGTAGTTTCAAGTGATTTCCTATTTACAGAGTCAGAGGACCGATTCACAACCAATATCTGTCTGATAAGTGTTAAATTATGACAATTTCCTTCTTTGTTTCTGCTGCATTCCTTTACGGAGAAACCATTGTTTTAATATTTATGTGCGGCCCAGCATATTATCTTTAAAAACTCCAGTTTTGTTTCAGGGAAATATTGTTAATGTATCAAGTGTAAATGGAATCCGGTCATTTCCAGGTATATAAATATAGATGAATAAATGAATGAACAAATAGTTAATTAAATGAAAGGATTAACAAAAGAATAGATGAAAGGATGAATAGATGAATAAATGAATAGATGAAAAAATGAATAATTAAATAAATGAAAAGCTGAATAAATGAATAATTAAATAAATGAATAGATGAATGAATAGATGAATAAATGAATACATGAATAGATAAATAGATGTTGACAGATTGAATAACAAGTAAATTAATAAATAAAACTAGACAATTAGACAACTAAACAACTAGTCAAAATCTAGACAAAACCTAGACAGCTATACAAAAACTAGACAACTAGACAAAAACTAGACAACTAGACAAAATCTAGAGAATCAGACAAAAAATAGACAACTAGACAACCAGACAAAAAATAGACAACCAGACTAAAACTAGACAACTAGACAACCAGACAAAAACTAGACAACTAGACAAATAGACAAAAACTAAACAACCAGACAAAATCTAGAGAACCAGACAAAATCTAGAGAACTAGACAAAAGCTAGACAACCAGACAAAAACTAGACAACCAGACAAAAACTAGACAACCAGACAAAAACTAGACAATCAGACAAAATAAAGACAACTAGACAAAAACTAGACAACTAGACAAAATCTAGACAACTAGACAAAATCTAGAAAATCAGACAAAAACTAGACAACGAGACAAAATCTAGACAACTAGACAAAATCTAGAGAACCAGACAAAATCTAGACAATTAGACAAAAACTAGACAACTAGACAAAATATAGACAACTAGACAAAAACTAGACAACCAGACAAAAACTAGACAACCAGACAAAAACTAGACAACTAGACAAAATCTAGACAACTAGACGAAATCTAGAGAACCAGACAAAATCTAGACAACCAGACAAAAACTAGACAACTAGACAAAATATAGACAACTAGACAAAATCTAGACAACTAGACAAAATCTAGACAACTAGACAAAAACTAGACAACTAGACAAAATCTAGACAACTAGACAAAATCTAGACAACTAGACAAAATATAGACAACTAGACAAAAACTAGACAAATAGACAAAATCTAGACAACTAGACAAAATCTAGAGAACCAGACAAAATCTAGACACTATTCACAACTAGACTAAGAGAAAGTTTAGGATTAAAACATCATGTACTAATTGTTAGATTTACAGATTGATTTTTTGATTAATGGAATTGATTGATTGATTGATTGATGGTTTTATCAATGGATTAATTGATAGTTTGATCAATGGGTTGATTGATTGATCTGTATTAAGGTGTCCTAGCCTACAATATCTCTAAGGCTGCGCTGGACCAACTGACAAGGTAAATCCAAGTATATATAACTTAGGCATTAATAAATACGTGGAGTTAAGATTAATTTTCAATGTTACTTTTTAAGTTGCCATTTTGTTTTGATAAGACCAAAAATTTTGAGGNTGTATTAGTATATGTACTAGGTGTACTGTATTAGTATATGTACTAGGTGTACTGTATTAGTATATGTACTAGGTGTACTGTATTAGTATATGTACTAGGTGTACTGTATTAGTATATGTACTAGGTGTACTGTATTAGTATATGTACTAGGTGTACTGTATTAGTATATGTACTAGGTGTACTGTATTAGTATATGTACTAGGTGTACTGTATTATTATATGTACTAGGTTTACTGTATTAGTATTGTACTTGGTTTAGTATTAGTATATTTACTATGTGTACTGTATTAGTATATGTACCAGGTGTACTGTATTAGTTTATCTACTAGGTGTACTGTATTAGAAGATGTACTAGGTGTACTGTATTAGTATATATACTAGGTGCAATGTATCAGAAGATGTACTAGGTGTACTGTATTACTTGATGTTATTTCTTAATAAGCTTGGGAATTCAGCATTGCCCAGGGTACTCATAGTTACTTCCGCCGTTTACCCGCACTTGGTCGACATTTACAAGGAAATTCTTTCGCTTTCAAAGTCGACTCACTTAAGTTAGAATTTCAAAATCAAACTAAGAACATTACCGTGGCTCTCCCGATTTTCCAAATCAAAATTTGAGGCAAATCGGTCGAGTGGTTCCTGAGTTATGATCAGACAAACAAACAGAGATGTTAATTTTATATAAAGAAACACTGAAAGTTACTCCGCCGTTTACCCACACTTGGACAATTTTACCGGGAAACTAAATTTTCGCTATTAAAGTCGACCCACTCAACTTAGAATCTCAAAACTTAGCTAAGAATATTCCT